CTCCTGCATGTGCCCCGACCGCGAATCAAACCTGCAACCTTTTGGTGTACAGAACGACGCTCCAACCAGCTGAGACACCGGCCAGGGCTACATTCAGTCACTGTTGGGGCTGTCCTAGGCTTTTTAAAGTGTGGCATGGTCATACCGAGATGCAGCATGATGGGACTCTTATGGAGTTCCAGGGACTAACTGTGACTTTGGGTAGGTACTTAAATCCTGTGGGTCCGTGGTGGCTCATCTATAAAATGGCAAGACCAAGTGTTTTTTTTTAAGATCATCGTAGCTTTAAGTGAGATAAAACACGAGAGAAGAAATTAAAGAAAAACATTTCCCACTTCTAGCTACTTATGTCCTTCTCTTAACCACATTTTAGAAATTTTGCTTATTTAATTACCTCACCACTCTGTCTCCAAGTTCCTGGCACTTCCTTTTTTATTTTATTTTTTATACTAACCTGAGGACATGCTTATTGATTTGAGAAAGAGAGAGAGAAACATCGATCAGTTGCCTCCTGTGCATATGCACCCCAACAGGGGATTGAACTTACAACCTAGGTATGTACCCTGACCGGGAACCAAACCTGCAGCCTTCTTTGTGTACAGGACAGCACTCCAACCACTGAGCCACACTGGCCAGGGCAGCTCTTGGCACTTCTGAAACTGAATCCGCTTGTGCTCTCCTAGCATCCCCTTTGGTGTGTTGACTGCTCCTGCCTTCCTTCCTGCCCTTAACTCCCTTCCCGGCCTCCACCCCTGCCTCTTTCTACCTCTTCCTCCTCTCATGCCTGTGTTCCCAGGGTGTCAGCCTCACACTTCCGTGGCCTCCTGGGTGAGTGCATCTTCCCACTGCACCTGCTCCCTCTGCGCTGGGCTCTCCCGTTCCATATCTGGATTGGGGCTGGGGGAGATCAGATATTAACTGGCAGCTGGTCAGCTCTGCTGGCTCATTCTGCAGGCACCTCAGATTCATTGCGCCCCAGTCTGAGCACTCTCTCCCTGAGTCTGCAGCTCCCATTTTTCGTGAGAGTATCAGCCAGGGCAGTCAAGCCTTGGAGTCCCTTCTATTTCCTGTCCTGTGCCCCGTCCTTTCCATGTTGGTTGCTATGCTGTTTCTCGCTGTGACTGTCTCTCACACAGCCCCCTTCAGGTCCTGCTCCCCTCTTGGCTCTGGTCTCTGCCATCTGCTCTGGGTCACAGCAGCAGCCTCCTGGTTGCCTGTCTTTCTCCTTCCATCCTGGTCCCACTTTCCCGCCAGTTATCTTTTTTTTTTCCCCTTTAATCCTCACCTGAGGACATTTTTCCATTTTTTGTTCAGATTGAGTGGGAGGGGGAGAGAGAGAGAGAGAGAGAGAAACATCGACGTGAAAGGGACACATCGAGTGGCTGCCTTCTGCACAACCCAACCAGTGCCGGGGACAAACTGCAACCGAGGTACGTGCCCTTAGTGGGAACCGAACCCGGGTCTCTCTGGACCGCAGGCTGACGCTCTAACCGCTGAGCCAAACCGGCCAGGGCCCACCAGTTATCTTTTTAAGACACCTTTCTGTTTACCTGAATTCTGCTGCCTCCCTTTCCAGCAGAAAGCAGTGCCGAATCCAGAACCTCGAGCTTGGCATCCAGGGTGCTTTTTGTGTGGACCCCAGTCTCTCCTTGGGTCACATTTCCCTTCCCTTTCCCACCTCCTTTGCCCCCCTGAGCCTTTTCACGCTATTCTCACCTTCTTTACTGACACGTTCTCTGGTTCCTGCAGACAGAATTAGCCTTTGTCATCTCTCTCCCTCATCACACTTTGCTCCTAATTTGGGGATAACACTTAGCACATTATTTGCAAGGCAGATGCCTCCCACCTCTGTTGGTTTGTGAGCTCCTGTCTGTGGTTGAGCATGGGGCGGGGAAGCACGCATGGAGTAGGGTGCTTGGAGGGCCCCGGCCCCCCTGTTTGAATTAAAGGGGTCTCTCTCGGGCTGGCGTTTGCTTCTTAGGCTGCTTCTGTGTCTGAAGCAGAGATTTGCTTATTGCTGTGTTTTATATAGGTCATCAGTGGGTGTATGAAGAGTAAAACAATGATGAGTTTAAACAGCATTGTAATATCAACATGAAGACCTAACTCTACGGTAGACTTTCTTTTCATTGCCTTAGTAAAGCAATTGTAACTTAATTCTGTTTTGTAGTAAATGATCACCAAAGAATACCCATGTCTTTTGTTTACTTACTTGTTTACAGTTTGCTAATGAGAAATACACATTTTTTTTATAGCCAAGGAAAAAAGTGAGGGGAAGAGATTAAGAAACTTACTGAAAATACAGTTCAAAGTAAGTCTAAGATGGGTCTTGACTCCCAAAAACATTTCAAGTTGTTGGCTGTCGCCTAGATATTTTAATAAAGTTACTATATATAAATACCATATTTAAAAAGTCACCACTGTTAGTTTAAGCACCTTGGCATTTATGGCCAAATTTATTATTAACAAGTTCAGAAGGGACTCGGAGCCGGAAATACATTAGGGTGGCGCTGAGGCGGGGCGGAAGGTTGTCCGGGAAGTGCAGCGGGTGGACCGAGTCCTGAGGAGACTTGCAGTGGAGGGGTGGGCGGGGGGCCCACAGCAGAGCCCGGCCCAGGTGGAGGCACAGCAGACCTGAGACAGCAAACACTGAGCAGCCTCTGGGTCCTGGAGGAACACCAGGATCTGGTGGCGGAGACTAGGGAAACATATCCTCCATGCCTCTCCTCCCCCGGCCCCCTCTCCCTTCACCCTCTGCCACACCAGCCTCAGCCCCCTGGTGTCACGTCGGGCATCTCGGTTTCAGAAAACACACACCCTATTTAATTGGATTGTTTCTGGTTAAAAAATGGGCAGAGGACCAGAACAGACACTTTTCCCAAGTAGACATAGAGGTGGCCAACAGGTAATATGACAAGATGCTCAACTTCACCAGCTATGAGGGAAATGGCAAGTGAAAACACACTGAGATACCACCTCACACCTGTCAGAATGGCTGTCATCAATGAGACAAGTAATAACAAGTGTTAGAGAGATGTGGAGAAGAGGGAACCCTTGTACACTGCTGGTGGAAATATAGCCACTATGGAGAACAGTGTGGAGGTTTCTCAGAAAATTAAGAGTAGAACTACCATATGACCCAGCAGTCTTTCTGTGTACCTACCTGGAAAAGTTGAAAACACATCTTTGTAAAAGTATATGTACCCCTATCATCAGTCACCATAGCCAAGACATAGAAACAAGTCAAGCGTCCTTCGACAGATGATTGGATAAAGAATATGTGGTACATATATACAAAGGAATACTACTCAACCGTAAAAGATGAAATGTTGCCATTTGTGACAACATGGATGGATCATGCTAAGTGAAAAACGTTAAACAGAAAAAGACAAGAACCATATGATTTCACTCACATGTGGGATATAAAACAAAAAGCAACCAACAAACAAATAAACTCATAGACACACAGACAACAGTATGGCAGTTACCAGATGCGGAATGGGGGTGGGGGAAGATGAAGAGGGTAAAGGGGGTCAAATTTATGTTGACGGAAGGAGACTAGGCTTTGGGAAGTGAGCACACGGTGCAATATACAGATGATGTATTATAATTGTACACTGAGCCCAGTCCCATGGACTGAGAAGTCCCTTCGATTCCCAATCAGGGCACATGCCCAGGTTGTGGGCTGGATCCCCAGTGCAGGAGGCAGCTGATCAGTGGTTCTCTCTCACATTGATATTTCTCTCTCTCTCTCCAAAAAATAAAACAAATCTATAATAATTGTACACTGAAACTTATATAATTATTAATCAGTGTTACCCCAATAAATTTAATTTATAAAAGAAAACATAAAAAAAAAAAGGAAAGAAACAAAAATAGACTCTAACTGAGGGTTCAAGCAGAAAAATGATATATTGGAAGGACAGTGGCGAGAGAGAGCGGACAGGCTGCAAGGCGCGAGGGCCCGGCAGCAGAATGGAAGCCCGGCTGTGCTGCAGGTGTTTGGCCCCGGCCCCGCCAGACCTGTTGTGGGGAAGATGGCCCTCCTGGACTGGTCCTCTAAGCTTATTTTTCCCCGAGGTCTTTCTCTTTGTCCTTTAGTTCTCCTTTCTGGGAAATTTCCCCTTTCTCTCATCCAGTCCTGTTTTTAAGATTTCAAAATTCTACCATCCTATTTTTTTTGTTCAATAACTAGGAAGTCCTCATAATGTTCCTCTTTTTGTTTCACAGATACAAGTTCTTATTTCTTCTTACGTTTTCTTCTCTGCATCATGCCTGCTCTGAATTCTTTTTCTTGGGGCTCAGTCTTTCCTGAGACCTGTTTTGGGCTTTCTTCAGAACACCTGACTGTCGTCGGCTGTTTGTTCGTATTTAAGAACGAGGTGGGCCAAGCACTTGGAGCCATGTAGGATGGCCTCTGGTGGCCCTCGTCTCAGGGACATGTGGCAGTGAATCTGACCCCTTTGTTGAGGTTCCCCTGTGTTTTGTGTCTCCTGGGCCACAGGAGTGCCTCCGGAAGCTCTGTGTGCGGCCACCTGCCGGTGAGCCAGGTGGGGGACGCACTGGGAGCTTCTTTCTTCTGCAGGCGGCCCTCACTCGCGTGCACCTGTTCTTCCACGTGACGTGCCCCTTCCATCCAGCACTCCGCACTTCTCGGTCTCCTGTCCCTCTTTGCTGTGATTCCTTTGTCAAGTAAACAAATGTTGACTGTTGAGACGCAGGGTAGGCAGATTTGGTCTCAGCTTAAAAGATTTGTCTTCAACACTGGGGCTAAAATGGCAGGAGGGTAAAATGGACACACTCAGAAGACTTAGTTTTATTTCCTAGTAATGAAAATTTAGAGGAGCAAAGATTCACAGTTAAGGATAGTTCTCAATAACAGAACTTGGTGTAAAATGTTATTTGGTTATATGTGCTCCCAAAATTAATCAGATCCTAAGAAATACTATACGCGCTCCTGTCATAAGTAGCTTTTCTAATCCAATTTTATTTTCTTTCAGATCCTATCACATAGGACAGTATGTACCTTCAGATCCTGAAGAAAAGGCGCAAAATGTCCAAGTAATGTTTCAAAATAATTTGTGAGGTAAGCGTGTGGTTCTTTAGGTGGATAATCACTATTGCCTTTCTGACGGCCCCTGCTAACGGCGTACTATTGAAAAGGCCGTGCGGGCGTGTGAAAGGGTAATGGTGGTAGGGAAATGTTTCTCCACCTACTGTCATTGGTTTGCTTACCATCTGTCCCAGAAGGAGAGTGTATCTTAGGGGTGGGGCGGGGAGAAAGTGAACTGATAAGTTACTAGCAAGTATTACAAGACGAGGTGAATGCTCAGTGCAAATGCCATGGAAAGCTTTTGCTTCTATGGTTGTCCCCTTAAAAGATATGCAGAGACATAGAAGTAGGGTTCAGACTGCCAAACCTCAGAGGAGGGAGCAGGAGGGGAGAAGAGATAAACCAAAGAATGTATCTGCATATATGCATAACCAGTGGACACAGACAATACTGTGAGGGGAGGGCTAGATCGGGAGGAGGGTGTCCATGGGAGAAAAAAGAGAAACATCTGTAACAAAGATAAATTAATTTTTAAAATAATGGAGATCTGCAGTGTGGCTTTGTGTTCTGGGAAACTGGGCTTTATTTGACATAAGGACAACAAGCAGCTTAGGCTCAGGAGTGTAGACAAAATCCCATTAAATCGGCCATAAAAGTCAGAAAATGATGATGCGACATCTGCTCGACCATCGGTCAATGCATAGTGCTTTCAGGTTCCTCCCAGAATGGTTTTCAGGAGCATTAAATCAATAGCGATTTTGGTATTTCGAGTAGCGTAAGATTGCAGCCTTACAGTAAAGTGTACGTTTTAGTTTTCCATCGCAGATCGCTGTACCGTTGCTCGCGTGCTCCCGGTGTTTTTAGATTAGTTCGATGTGAAGAAATTGTTTCTTCATGCCCTCCCCTCCCTTCCTGTCTCATTAATGAAGTGTAAATACAGTGACTCAGCAGAGCGCCCGTGCAGGGTATGAGGGATAACCGAATGCATCCAGCCCACACTCTTGAAAATCAAGGCACTTCCGGGTACCAGGTGGTTTTTCCTTTTGTCTTCTAGTGGGTTTAACGAGTTTGGCCCTAAAGCACACGAGCACCGTGCACCAGCATCCTGAGATGTGCTTCTAGGTATGCCCTACCGTGCCAGTGTTTGGTGTCCCTGTGGTTGCCCTTCTTGCCGCCAGCAGAGCTACACTAGGCATACTACCCACCACAGGGCTGTCCTGCGCGCTCTGGCAGTTCTCACCAGTACCCCACCAGGAGGTCGAGCTGACTGGCTCAGCCGTGCAGTGTGTGCCTTCAGAAGCCATGCGGGGTCCTGACCTCTGGGTAGAACTCAGACTGCACAGACATGCTCTGACAGCAGGCTCGCCTGTCCGCACAGCTCATCATCTTATTGCCAGCGAGCACCGTTGCTCATAGAAAGCGTTCTGCTTGAAACAGAACCAGAAAGCCAAGGGACTGTGGTCAGAGGAATTTTTCACATTAAGGTCTTGATGTACAGTTAGGATTCACTAAGAAACTTTTATGCAAATCACTAGCAAACTATTCGCATCTGAGAGAGGTACCAGTTTCTTGTTGACATCCGCCAACAGCACGCAGGCACCGAAAGGGGCATAGGCAGAGAGGGCCAGCCCCTCTGGGTGGGCTGACAGTCAGGGAGGGACACACAGAAGCTCTGGTGGTGGGAAGGGGTAAGCACACGCAAGTGGAACGGATGAGCGTGCCCTGAGCGTTCCAGGGAAGTGCAGAAGCTTCCAGACACTGTCTGCCCTTCGACAAAACCAGGCTTTACAGTGGTGTAGGCAGAACCAGCTTGCACTTCTCCAGATACTCATGTCTGATTCCCGGAGACCCTTTCAAAGTGCTCCTCGGAGGAAGGACAACTATCTTTTGAGGATGACTTGCTTGAAAGAGAGAAACATTGGGTCCTACAGGGTGAGGGGATATACAGGGAATGGACTCAACGGAGGTGTTTGCTGGGGAAGGCTCCCTGAAAGAACGGCTGGCTAAGGTCTGGCCAGTTCTTTAGTTTATCTCACCAAAAATTTTTAAAGCACCCGGCCAGTGTGACTTAGTGGATTGAGCGTTGTCCCAGGGACTGAGAGGTCCTGGTTCGATTCCTGGTCAGGGCACATGCCCCGGTTGCAGACTCGATCCCCAGTAGGGAGAGTGCAGGAGGCAGCCCATCGATGTGTCTCTCTCACATTGATGTTTTTATCTCTTTCTCCCTTCCTCCCTCTCTCTAAAAAAAAAAAAATCAATAAAAACATATTTAAAAAATATATTTTTTAGAGCTGTTTGTGTCTGATCTAAGAGCAGGGTTATTTTACTGACCCTGGGGAACAATTTCATTTCTCTCTTGTACAAGTCCATGTTTTTGTATCAAGGGAGAGTTTTGCAAAATATTTGCAGAATGAACTCTAATCTGCAAGTTTATTTATTCATTAAATGTGCGCATAATTACTGTGCTCCCGTTTTGTTTAAGGAAAACAAAAATAATGGAACGCCCAGGTTCAAAAGACGGCTGGCAATCACTCGTAGCAGACCTGACTCCATGAGCTTTCATTCTGCGGCTCCTGCTCCTTCACACTGGGGAGGGCTCTTGCTCCGTGCTTGTCGGAAAGATGAGCGGTTCGCATGCGCCAAGAAAGCACTTGGGTCATTTGCTAAAAGACTGTCAGTGTTTTTCTCTCCCTTGTATGAAAGCTAAGGCCAAATGAACTCTGAGTCTTTATCTTCCTTCTCTTTATTTATCATGAGTATCACTGCTCTACACCAAACACCAATAAGACAAGGTCCTTCGTTTAAAGAAGCAGAAGAGGCACAACCGGTGTGGCTCAGTGGTTGATCATTGACCCATGCCCCAAGAGTTCACCGGTTCGATTCCCTGTTAGAGCACATGCCCAGGTTGTGGGCCCGATCCCCAGTGTAGAGCGTGCAGGAGGCGGCCAATAAATGTTCTCTCTCATCGATGTTTCTATCTCTGCCTCTGTCCCTTCTTCTCTCTCTAAAACCAATAAAGAAAAATAATAATAATAAACAGCAGAACAAGTTGCTAGGAAAAAATGCAAGTTCCTCTTTTATTTTGTTGGATCCTAGGGCATCAGGGACTGTAGGAAGTCGGAAAGGTGTCAAAATAGTGGATTAATAAGTGAAGGAAACTTCAAATGATTAGAGAGGAAGGGCTTTCTAGAAACACAATATAGAGTTGAAGATAGAGAGAAAAATGGGAGCCTGCCTCCAAAACATGATCCCGTGTTGAAACGAGGGAGAGATGAAAGTAAACAGAACCCCATTGAGAAAACCCAGGTCGGCCCATATAAAATGGGTAGAGAAATAGTCACTTATTTATCACCCTTCCCTCATGTGGGTAGTCCTGTTTCTGTGAGAGCTGTAAGGTCATCTGTGCACCTCAGCACAGACAGGTCAGGTCGCACGGGGCTCATTGCGTGGACAGTGGGTGGCAGCCGTGGTACAAGTCTCATGTCCACCGTGGCTTGGGAACTTGGGTGCTGTGATTGTGCATCTGGCTCGTTCTTTTCATTATCTTTGTTCGTCTGTGGCTGTGGCCGTGTTCCCTGGGAGCCTCATCACTCTGTGTCTATCCCCTCCAGGGTGCATCGGGAAAATCATGCCGTCATCAGGACACCGGCTCCGGGATGTCGAACACCATCCTCTCCTGACCGAAAATGACAATTATGACTCTTCGTCGTCCTCTTCCTCCGAGGCTGACGTGGCAGACAGGGTCTGGTTCATCCACGACGGCTGCGGCATGATCTGCGCTGTCATGACGTGGCTTCTGGTCGTCTATGCAGACTTTGTAGTGACGTTTGTCATGCTGCTGCCTTCCAAAGACTTCTGGTACTCTGTGGTCAACGGAGTCATTTTTAACTGCTTAGCGGTGCTTGCCCTGTCATCTCACCTGAGAACCATGCTCACCGACCCCGTGAGTACTCGCTCTGGAGCTAGATTTTCCTCCTGTGTCTGGTCTCGTGTGACACCATAGACCATGTGGCAAAGGGCCTCTCGCACTGTAACTTCAGGTTTTTATTCATTCCTGGGTGTGGGCTTGTAGCATCTTTCACTGGAGAATAAGCATCGCTTAAACAGAGTGATATCATGGGATGTTAATGAAAAATATTTCTGTTGGGCTGTCTATTCAAATGAAGAGATTATACTAAATAATTTCTAAAATTCCTCCTAGTTTAAATATTTTATTTCTCTGAGGAATGGACCGAAAGCTGAGAGATCGAGGATCGAGATTTCACCACTGTACTAATCTTTACAATTGCCTTTTGACCATAAGCAACTAATTTAACCTCTTTGGCTAAAGGTTAGCTATCACCTCTAAGTTCCTTCTAGCTTTGTAAGTCTCTTGTTTTTAAGTCTCAGCTAAAATCTGAAGCAGACGTCTCACTCTAGCCGGTAGAAGGTCAAGGTCCAGCCTGTGTGCAGAGCAGAGAGGAAGAACTCACTAATTACTGGTTCCAGCAGGTGTGAGGTGTGACCTGGGAGGGGGCGACTGCGCAGCAGAGACCAGGTTCAGTGCACAGTGAGAGCTGACGCAGGCGTGTGAGAAGGGCTTATTTTTGGAGCAGTTCCTCTGAGAATAAAGACGGGCCAGATCTCACCCAGTGAACTGCCCGTGCTTCCTGCTGTCTCGAAGGCCCCTGGATTCAGAAGCTCCATGCTGGCTGTAAGGCTGCTAATCTGAGATTCTGAGGCAACGTGGTACTGATCCTCCCAGTTCAGCCAGGAGTCACCTCCAGACTAGATTCCAGGCTCACCCCAGAACCCGGAGGAGGTGAAGCCTGCAGGCCCAGTGGGAGCAGTCCCCGTCGGCAGGGCTGTGCTGCAGGTGTGCACAGCTAGGTGTGAGCAGTTGCCATGGGCCTGAGTTTGGGGAAGGTTCTTGAAAGAGTGGTTTTAGCCCCTGGCACAGGGGCTCCCGATTTATACATTAAAGTCTGCTGGGCTCCTGTCTGTAGTAGCTTTCTCTGAAAAGGTACCAAGAAGCTAATGTTTTGTTATTAAAAATTTTTGTATATAAGATTAGACCTTTGTTTGAGTATAAACTGATACTGATCAGACCACAGAATGTGGCTAGCACATTGGCTTATCTGACTTTTGCTATGTCTGAGTTTGTGTCATGGGGTGTTACCCTACATCATTTATTCTGTCATTTGTTTATTCTGTCACTAGTGGAGGCCTTGGGCCTGTGCCAGTATTACAGACCCAGCCAGGTGGGCAGCTGGGAGCAGCACTTAGGTGACAACTTCGAAGCTAAGTCTGCTCGTGGTTTTGTAACCTCCCCTGACTGCGGGGTCTTCGACCACAATGGAATCTGATGTCCCTCAGAGACTTTTAAAGGAGCCTCTTCTCCTTTCCTCTACACAGCAAAGCCTCCCTCTGGAACCAGACCCTACTCCAGAGCCCGAGCCTCTCCGCCCCTCTCCTGTCGCACAGACACCGCACATCAGCACCACGGCCACGGGGAGGGCATTACAGGGGGGAGGGCATTACAGGGGGGAGGGCATTTCAGGGGGGAGGGCAGAGGAACGATTTCTACTCAGATGTTCGTGGCAGGAAAAGCCCTGGTAGTGTCGACCACTTCCCTGGATGCTGAAAACTGGGTGGGCCCAGAGGGCTTAAGATGGCTTCAGTGTAACAGGGGCTGAGCACCCTTGCTCCCAGACACCGACCTGATTTACAGATAAAACACCACGTGGTCAGCTGGAAAAAAACAAGTGTAGCCGATTGGACATATTTTGTCCAAGGAGCACTGAAGAAACAATGTAGAGACTGATAAGAAAGGGGGAGCAGTGGAAAGGGGGAGCCCCCCTGGCGCTGGTGCTCAGCTGAGCGGCCTGAGTGATATTGGCTACAAAGCTCTCCACCCTTGGGAGTGTGGTCTCACATCCCCACACGGGGACCCCAAACCCTGAGCAGCAGACTGGAAGGACAGCCCGGGCGGAGGGATCCAGGGGAACGCAGTCTGCCGGGGAGTCTGGGTCCATACCTTCCCAGGGAAGAGCTCCCTGATGTCAGCAGCCCCAGCGGAGAGGTACCCCGGGCTCCGACTGCTGGAAAGGCAGCGCGACAGCGTGCGCCCCAGAAGAGAAGGGCCCGGGGGCTGCACCCAGCAGTGACTCAGAGTGACCCTCTGCTTTCCGGAGGGTGTTGTGCAGAGAAATCTCTGATAAGCTATCTAACCCTACAACTAAAAGAATTAGAGAACAACAAGAAAAGCCCAGAGTAAGTAGAAGAAAGGAAATAATAAAGGTCAGAGCAGAAATAAATTACATAGAGACTTAAAAAAAAATACAAAAGATCAGTGAAACCAAGAGCTGGTTCTTTGAAAAGATAAACTAGATTGATGAACCTTTAACCAGACTCATCAAGAAACAAAGAGAGAAGACCCAAAGAAATAACATCAGAAACGAAAGAGGTGAAGTAACAACTGACACCACAGAGAGCCAGTAGATTGTAAGAAAATGCTGTGAACAACTATATGCCAACAAGTTGGACAACCTGGATGAAAGTGGACAAATTCCTAGAAAAATACCATCTTCCAAAATTGCATCAGGAACAACCAGAAAACCTGAACAGGCTGATAGCAACTGAAGAAATTGAAGCAGTAATTTAAAAAAACCTCCCAGCAACAAAAAAGCCCTAAGCCAGATGGCTTCACAGGCGAGTTTTACCAAACATTCAAAGAACTAACACCTATCACACTCAAACTGTTCAAAAAAATCCAAGAGGGCCCTGGCCGGGTTGGCTCAGCGGGTGGAGCATTGGCCCTTGGACCAGAGTCACAGGTTTGATTCCGGTCAGGGGCACGTACCTCGGTTGTGGTTCAGTCCCCGGCCCTGGTCAGGGTCGTGCGGGAGGCAGCCAGTCGGTGTGCCTCTCACATCCATGTCCTTTTTTTTCTCTTTCTCTCTCTCCCCTCCCCCAACCCTACTCTATCTAAAGATAAATGGGGAAAAAAACAAAACAAAAAACAACCCTCATGTGAGGATTAAAAAAAAAAAATCCAAGAGGAGGGAACACTTCTAAGCTCTTTTCCGAGGCCAGCATTATCCGAGTTCCAAAACCAGATAAAGATACTACAGAGAAAGAATTACAGGCCAATAGCCCTGAAGAACATAGATGCTAAAATCCTCACCAAAATGTTCTCAAATCGGATCCAGCAATACATTAAAGAGATCATATACCATTACCAGGGATGCGAGGCTGGTACGATAATTTGCAAATCAATGTGATACATCACGTAAACAAGTTGAAAGGCAAAACTCACACAATCATATCAATAGACACAGAAAAAGCATTTGACAAAATCCATCACCTGTTTTTGATAAAAACTCTCAGCAAAGTGGGAGTAGAGGGATCATACCTCAACATACCAAAGGCCATCTATGACAAACCCACAGCCAACATACTCAGTGGGCAAAAACTAAAAGCATTTCCCCTAAGAACAGGAACAAGACAGGGATGTCCGCTTTTGCTGCCCTTATTCTTTGTAGGCGCTTTGGTGATGGGACCACCTCCATACACAGGTCCCCAGTGTGAGTGGGGCCGTGGGGGGAGGGTTGAGCAGGCTGACCCTCCTTGTAAGAGTGTTTGTTTCCGCCCTGGCCGGTTTGGCTCAGCGGTTAGAGCGTTGGCCTGCGGTCCGGAGAGACCCGGGTTCGGTTCCCGCTAAGGTCATGTACCTCGGTTGCAGTTTGTCCCCAGCCCTGGTTGGTCGTGCAGGTGGCAGCCACTCGATGTGTCCCTTTCACATCGATGTTTCTCTCTCTCTCTTCCTCTCTCTCCCTCCCACTCTATCTATACAAAAAAATGGAAAAATGTCCTCGGGTGAGGATAAAAAAAAAGAGTGTTTGTTTCCTTTCCAAGTGTGGTTCCCTCTAACTCCGCGGCAGTGCGGCTCCCGGACCCACCACTCCTCTGGAAGAAGGCCTCAGAACTCTTACAGGAAGCCCCGAGGGGGGGAGTGAAGTGGTGGGGCGAGGGAGGGTGCGCAGCCTCTGCTGCTGGGCCTGTGCGTCTCGCTGCGCCATTGCAGTGTCGAATGGAAGCATCCAGAGGCAGGCAGTACCGAGGTGGGGGAGGAGCTTGAGAGCCTGGACATCAGAGTTTTCCCACTGAAATTTAATTCATAAATCACAAAAATTCATCCTTTTAAAGTGTATAGTTCAGCCTGGCCAGAGGAGTTCAGTTGGTTGAGCCTTGTCCTGCATACTGAAAGGTGGCCAGTTCGATTCCCGGTCAGGGCACATACCTGGGTTGCGGGTGTGAGCCCCAGTTGGGAACATATAGAAGGTAACCCAATCAGTGTTTCTGTCTCTCCCTTCCTCTCTGTAAGCGTGTCCTCAGGCGAGGACTATAAATAAATAGAGTGCATAGTTTGGTGATTTTTAGTGCATTCACAGAATTGTGCAACCATCACTACAGTCCATTTTAGACATTTCATCACCCCCCCACAAAAAAAACCCTGCACTCCTAGCCATCACTGCCTAGTCCCCCACCCTCCCCCAGCCCTAAGCAACCACTGATCTACGTCCTGTTTTTGCCTACTCTGGAATCATATAAATGTAATGCAACACGTGTCCTTTTATGTCTGGCTTCCTTCACCCAGCATAAGATTTTCAGGATTCATCCATGTTGTAGCCTGTGTCAGTGTCTGAAGAACTCTTTTTATGGCTGAAGAACATTCCATTGTATGGACAGACCCCATTTTGTTTATTAGACATCGTCACTTGGACATTTGGGCGGTTTCCACTTATATTGCTGCCATGAAAATGTACACGTTTTTGTGTGGACCTGTCTCGTTTCTCTGGAGCATAGCTTCAGTGCCATAGCTCGCGCGGAGCAGCGGGACAGTGTCTTGTACCTGTCCAGTTAGAGCGCCGAGCTCCTCAGCTGTCAGTTCTCTCGCCTTCTTCTTCCTTTGAATAAGGGTCCACATGAGGTCTGTACTCTGTGATGCTTGCCTGTCTCTTACATCTCTTATCTCTGTGGTTCCTTGTCTCTTTTTCCCTTGGGGTCTTTTTTAAATCTTCACCTCCTTAGGTGTTTATTGATTTTAGAGAGAGGAAGGGAGAGACAGAAATATCGATGTGAGAGAGAAACATTAATCGGTTGCCTCCCACACGTGTCCCCACTGGGGATTGAACCTGAAATCTTTTTGGTGTACCAGACGATGCTCCAGCCAACTGAGCCACCCCATTGGGGCTTTCCTTGGGGTATTTAAAATTGAAGAATCATGGCCTTTGTCTTGTAACTTTCCTCCCACTCTGGAGTTTTCAGTTTATACCCGTGTGTGTGTGTGTGTGTGTGTGTGTGTGTGTGTGTGTGTGTTTTCTTCTTGTGTATGTTTTAACATGTTCCCCATCCCATATGTGTCCCACAAATGCGACAGAGGATCTGAGGGAAAGCCCCATGTTCAACTCCCCCGTGGTTAGGTCCTAGGGATCCAGAATGCATGACGGGAATTGGTGGGTCGAGATGAAAAGACACGGGGTAAAAGAAAGAAACTACTGAGCATAACTTTCCTGGACGTGTGACGTGGCTGAGAGCACTTTCCTAGTGTGGGTTCTGGTTTCCTTCTGTGTGGTGGTCGGGGTGCTGAGGGCAGGCTGTGAGATGGGGCGCTAGGGTCGGAGTGCTTTATGCAAAGGGGAGCAGTCGGGCCAGTTGGGGTAGGAAGCAGCTCGGAAGCATGGCTGTGGCCCGGGGCCGGGATCTCAGTCCTAGTTCTAGGAAAAAACAGCCCCTGAAGTTGGCTCTCACACGAACGTGAGCTTGAGGAATGTGCCTCAGCTATTTAGGTTTCTTCTGATGGAGTGCAGAGTGGTCCCCACTGGTGCCGAGGTGACGGGCGCTCCTTCAGATGTGACCCAGCAAGGACCTGGGCGCCCAGCTGGGAGGTGGACTGTGAAGGGAGCGACCGCTGGCCCTCCAGCCAGGTGTCTGGTCTGCGAAAGCACACCTCGAAAGACTCAGCACCCAAGTGTAGGTCATCAGCCCCGGGGCCTCAGAAAAGTCATCTTGGAGCCCTGCGGAGACATGGCCCTGAGGAGCTCCGTAGACTGCCAGGGTCTGAGCCCCCAAAAGGAGTGTCTGGAACGGAGTCTCCAGGCCCTGGGTTCACATAACGATTGTTTGCCTCCCCCTTTGGGACACACACCTTTTTCCAGTGAAAAATCATAAGCAATTTCCTAAAACTATGGGTAGTGTTGGGGTGTTCTGCTTTTCAGAAGGGTATTTTATCACATCTGATTTTACTAGAAAATTACATGTGTGTGTCATAAAAATTAAGGTGGGTGGAGTTCTAAATCTGGTCCATTTCCTCTTATGGACATGTGTGACATTGAGCTGTTACCAGGAGTGAGTATGTAACATCATGGTATTTTATAAAATCATAATAGCATTAAGACTCCTGGATTGGGGGAGGGAACTTGAAAGACTCCAAACTGTGGTATGTAAATTAAGTAAAATGTTGTGCCCAACATTCTGCTTTAAATTTTCAAAAGCAAGAGTTTAAACCCTTACCTTTTGTGCCTCCTTTAAGGAGACAGTCGAAGTGTTAGGGAGCTCTGGGGCCTTGACCGAAGCAGCTTCCTCAGGTTAGCACAGGAACGGGAGAGGTCACCGCGGTGGAGGTTCGGGCGGAGAACGGTCACATTTTGCCCGCAGTCCCCCGACCCACTTCCCAGGGCACATCCTGGAGGCCTTACTTCCTGCTGGTGACGGGCTGCACGGTGGTTCCTGGGCCTTGGGGACGGAGGGCCGTGGCCCGCTCGCCTGCTGAGCTTTCTCAAAGGGCGTGAGCCCTCAGCCGCAGAGGTTCGGACGGCTCGGCGTCCAGCCTGCGCTTCTGGGCCTGGAGGAGCCCCAGCACTGCCCCTGCTGGTCAGTGGAGTCGCTCACTGTCCCCTTACCCGCCACCTCCCCCGCCTCCCAGGGCCCTGCTCTCGCAGTGGCTTAGGGGGCTCATTCTCCAGAAGGGTGCGTTTCTGCACGAAGCACGGCCCGAGCGGCTAAGCAGTGGAAGACAGACCTTGTTCCCTACGTTGAGACATTTAGAACAACCTCCCTCCCCGCACCCCGTCCACTCTAGTCACGTCATTTATCTTGGTCCAGCCTGTCACCGCAGCCAGACTCATCTTCCAAACGTGTTTTCCATTACACCTCTCCACGGCCCAAAGACCAAGGCATTCCTGTTGTGGCCTACTCGGGCCATCGCTGCCCACCGCTCCGGCCTGGCTGCCGTGTGCCTGGCCTCCACCCTGCGCGGTTCCCTACAGACGGCTCCTTGCCGGAGTTCACGGGTCCCTAAGTCGTCTTCCTGTTGCTGCCCCGTTGCTTATCTTTCCCCAGCTCCCCCAGCTCCCCCAGCTCCCCAGCTCCCCAGCTCCCGGGCGCGTGCAGTGCACTGTCAGCCCCTGACCATGGCCAGACGCCGAGTTGGCTCAGTTACTCAGGGCCACACGTTCCAGGTTGGAGTGTGAGTGCTCTTGGCTAGGTTGGCAGACACAGGTGCATTTCATATAAAAACACAAGATAAAGCCCTTTGTGAGGTGGTTTTGTTCAGCTGACAGCCATGGGCAGCGTTATCTGGCCAACCCTGCCCATTAGAAGGGGGGAATAGGGACACGGTGCCGATCAGCTGCCCTTGAGTTGGAGTGGCTTCCCAGACAAACCGTGCTCCGGTGGAGCGCGCGTCAGCTAGGGAAACCTCATGTGACTCACCAGTTTATGAAGGGCGATACGGCATTTAGCTTGAGTTCATTTTAATACGTGTTAGTTTTCAAGAAAAATAAAACATCTGGTCCTGCCTAATAGTTATTTTTCATGCTAATGTGCTTTAAGAGGCAACTACAGAATTACTAATGATTTTATTATGATACATAAAATCTAAGACTGATTCCTACATTTATTGACTGGTTTTAACCTTTCCTTCTTCTCCCAACTAAATACTCTTATTAAACTGTAGGGGGCAGTACCCAAAGGAAACGCTACTAAAGAGTACATGGAGAGTTTGCAGCTGAAGCCTGGAGAAGTGATCTACAAGTGCCCAAAGTGCTGCTGTATCAAGCCTGAGCGCGCCCACCACTGCAGGTACCTGCACCCCTTCCTAGAGCAGTCTGAGCCCCACCACTGCAGGTACCTGCACCCCTTCCTAGAGCAGTCTGAGCACCCACCACTGCAGGTACCTGCACCCCTTCCCTAGAGCAGTCTGAGCGCCCACCACTGCAGGTACCTGCGCCCCTTCCCTAGAGCAGTCTGAGCGCCCACCACTGCAGGTACCTGCGCCCCTTCCTAGAGCAGTCTGAGCGCCCACCACTGCAGGTACCTGCGCCCCTTCCTAGAGCAGTCTGAGCGCCCACCACTGCAGGTACCTGCGCCCCTTCCTAGAGCAGTCTGAGCGCCCACCACTGCAGGTACCTGCGCCCCTTCCTAGAGCAGTCTGAGCGCCCACCACTGCAGGTACCTGCACCCCTTCCTAGAGCAGTCTGAGCGCCCACCACTGCAGGTACCTGCACCCCTTCCTAGAGCAGCCTGAGCGCCCACCACTGCAGGTACCTGCACCCCTTCCTAGAGCATCCTGAGCGCCCACCACTGCAGGTACCTGCACCCCTTCCTAGAGCAGTCTGAGCACCCACCTCTGCAGGTACCTGCACCCCTTCCCTAGAGCAGTCTGAGCGCCCACCACTGCAGGTACCACAGCCCCTTCCTAGAGCAGCCCGAGCGCCCACCACTGCAGGTACCACAGCCCCTTCCCTAGAGCATCCTGAGCGCCCACCACTGCAGGTACCTGCACCCCTTCCTAGAGCAGTCTGAGCGCCCACCACTGCAGGTACCTGCGCCCCTTCCCTAGAGCAGTCTGAGCACTCACCACTGCAGGTACCTGCACCCCTTCCTAGAGCAGTCTGAGCGCCCACCACTGCAGGTACCTGCACCCCTTCCTAGAGCAGTCTGAGCGCCCACCACTGCAGGTACCTGCACCCCTTCCTAAAGCAGTCTGAGCCCCACCACTGCAGGTACCTGCACCCCTTCCTAAAGCAGTCTGAGCCCCACCACTGCAGGTACCTGCACCCCTTCCTAGAGCAGCCCGAGCGCCCACCACTGCAGGTACCTGCGCCCCTTCCCTAGAGCAGTCTGAGCACCCACCACTGCAGGTACCACAGCCCCTTCCCTAGAGCAGCCCGAGCGCCCACCACTGCAGGTACCTGCACCCCTTCCTAGAGCAGTCTGAGCACCCACCACTGCAGGTACCTGCACCCCTTCCCTAGAGAAGCCCGAGCGCCCACCACTGCAGGTACCACAGCCCCTTCCCTAGAGCAGCCCGAGCGCCCACCACTGCAGGTACCTGCACCCCTTCCCTAGAGCAGCCCGAGCACCCACCACTGCAGGTACCACAGCCCCTTCCCTAGAGCAGCCCGAGCGCCCACCACTGCAGGTACCTGCGCCCCTTCCTAGAGCAGCCTGAGCGCCCACCACTGCAGGTACCTGCGCCCCTTCCCTAGAGCAGTCTGAGCACCCACCACTGCAGGTACCTGCACCCCTTCCTAAAGCAGTCTGAGCACCCACCACTGCAGGTACCACAGCCCCTTCCCTAGAGCATCCCGAACGCCCACCACTGCAGGTACCTGTGCCCCTTCCCTAGAGCAGCCCGAGCGCCCACCACTGCAGGTACCACAGCCCCTTCCCTAGAGCATCCCGAACGCCCACCACTGCAGGTACCTGCGCCCCTTCCCTAGAGCAGCCCGAGCGCCCACCACTGCAGGTACCACAGCCCCTTCCTAGAGCAGGGAGTGCCCTCAGTGGCCTCTGACCAGCACTGTAATTTCATGTATTGGATGCGTGGCCTGGGGTTTGTTACCTCAGAGCATAGAATACTAATCATCAAAACTCTCCTTTTAGTATTTGCAAAAGATGTATTCGGAAAATGGATCATCACTGTCCGTGGGTGAACAATTGTGTAGGAGAAAAGAATCAGAGATTTTTTGTGCTCTTCACTGTGAGTAGAAATATTTATGTAGTAACTTATATTTGAATTTAAAATTCTCAAACTAGAATCTTGCCTGGAGCTGGTAAATTTATTCTAACATCAGACCGGTTTCCCTGCAACCCTTTCTCCAGATTCAGATTATAATACTGTGCCGACTGGTAGGAAGTAGTCTAACAGATAAATATATGTTGCTTGTGGTGTTTTACTGTCATTTTTTCTCTGAGACACAGTTCTTAGTGGGATCCTGTTGAAATTAGAACATAATTCCCTACTGTATGCTTTTCAATAAAATTATTTAACTTGGACCAACATGATCTTGGGCAGGCAGTTGCCACCTACTGCAGTCGATTCCTTCCCTCGTCACTTGTACTGACGCGTGAAGTGGAGGAGTTGGCCTGAGATCAGGCAGCCTTTGCTCCCAGAAACATGTAATTGCTCAGCAGTTGTAACCACTGTCTCCCTCCTTCCAGATGTACATAGCTCTCTCCTCAGTCCATGCTCTGATTCTCTGTGGGCTCCAGTTCATTTCCTGTGTCCGGGGCCAGTGGACAGGTAAGCTTGTGTGTGCCCTTCCCGGCAGTCATGCTGTGGGTGGAGAGGGGAAGACTTTCAAGGACAGTTGATTTTCCAGTTTTGAAAGAAATCCTCACTGCTTCTTTAGGAGGGTTTTTTTTTTTTTTTTTAGGAAAAAATATGGGTATTAGCACTGTCTTTTTCCCAGTATAATGAAGCTATATATATACATATATACATATAACTGTTCTTCCTTAGTCAATTAATAATTTCTACTAGATAGTCTTGTTTGTAGTTTCAGATATTGAGACTAGAGGGAGGTTAGCGTTGTTCCCTCCAAAGCTGGTGTTGAGTTTGTGCTGAGCCAGCGAGGCAATGTTCAGGTTCCCTCGTCTGACCGAGAGTGGCGTGCAGGGGCACAGCGGGGCCACCCTGGACACGCCAGCAGGCCACCGTCGTCCTGCCCCAGGGCGGGTGAGGAACGCCTGTGTGTACCCCCGTGTGCAGGTGCACGCGCCTCTCTTCTCCATCTTCAGGTGCACTTTAACAAGCACGTTAAAACACAGATGCAGTCTAATAGAAACCTCTGGTAGCAGGGAATCTTGGGAAACTGCTCATCGGGAAACGGTGGTGTGAGTTTTTGCTCAGAAGGGGCGGCCTCCTCCATCCCTTGGTGAGCAGTGAATGTGCCCATTTACAAAATGAGCACCTTCTTCCTGGAAGCCGGCCCAGGGGCTGCCACTGTGAGGGTCCTGGGAGCCACACACGCGACGTCCTGCGGTTTGGGGCAGTCATCGTGCTGTGATGTCCAGTCACAACCCACTTTCTCTTGTTCACAGAGTGCAGTGATTTTTCCCCTCCGATCACTGTAATCCTGTTGATCTTCCTGTGCCTTGAGGGTCTCCTGTTCTTCACTTTCACTGCGGTTATGTTTGGCACCCAGATCCACTCGATATGCAATGATGAAACGGTATGCCTTGTTCTCGCCGTGTTTGCTTAATGCTCGGTTGACGCTTGAGTACATGGGAAAGTCTAATGTCAACAGCAGGTGCGTGTGTATTAACTCGGGAGATTAATTGGACAGCCTTGATAAGCTCCGAAAGGCTCGCTGTGTTTGTTCTTTGTCATTATGCACAGTGCATATTTCAGGGATCAGTGTGACTTGAGAGTCAACAGACCAGGCAGGTTCCCAGTTTCTAGGAGACCCACCCCTGGAGCAGCTGAGTGAGTTGCAGGTATTGATCGCCTTCACCCCTTTGAACTGGAGGCCTAGAGCAGACACTCAATAAATATTTGTAGTAAATGAATCAAAGGTTGCCCCTGGCCTGGACGGCCAGCTCTCTCCTGCTCCACTGTGGCCGCCTGGGCTGTCCTAGCTGGTGGCCGCTGCCCAGCTGCCTGCCATTGGTCCGGCTGTGTCAGGGAGGCTGTGGGGCCGGTGCCAGGACCGAGAGCCCACACTTCACCTGAACACCTTGCTCTCAAGTGCAGTGGACAGTCTGATGTTTCCTGTTTTTACCTCTCAGCCTAACCTGGATGTGTGGGGGGTTTCCTGGCTGCCACCCACTTGCTTTTCTTTCTGCTTCCAGGAGATTGAGAGATTGAAAAGCGAGAAGCCGACCTGGGAGCGGAGGCTCCGATGGGAAGGGATGAAATCTGTCTTTGGGGGACCGCCCTCACTCCTCTGGATGAATCCCTTTGTTGGCTTTCGATTTCGGCAACTGCAAATGAGACCCAGAAAAGGAGGCCCAGAGTTCTCCGTGTGAGGCCTCTGTCATCTGCTGGAACATGTTAATGGACTTAAATTATTTATTTGGGGTCTGAAAGGGTATCAACAGCTCATCTGTGACCAATAGGGCAAATGGAACCTACACAGACCGATTGCTTGCAGCAAGCAGAATTTTATATATTTACAGTCACCGATGGCAGGTTTCCAAACTAGTACCGGATGATGCTCTTCAGTTCCACCTATACCACCAACGCAAGGGATGTGGCCACGCAAGGAAGCCAAATGGCGTTATCTTCCCGCACAGCTAGGATTTCTGTTGAGTACTTTGCATTTTCTAAGAAGCTGTGTGATATGACATGGGTTATTAAAATCCCGTGTGCTGCGCTGCTTTCAATCATGAAGAAAAGTCAATCCAGTGAGTAGAATTCTCCGCGTGGTTCCAGGAAGTTCCTGTTGACCCTGTGATTCATTAGTGCACTCCCTTGACCAAGAAGGGGCGTTTACATAGAAGTCCATTTTGGTCTCCATTAGCTCTGACACTTTGCACTGAATTTGCAAAAGATCTGTGCATTGAACAGCAAAGGCGGCTTCAGGTACACTTCCACTGCCCCGGGGGCCTCTCTGACCCTGCAGCAAGTCTGTGTGTGTCTGTGTGCGCGCGTGTGCATGTGTGTTAGACTTGACAGTGTCGTTCAGGCGATGTAACATTTAATGGCCGTGTGCAGCAAACAAGCTATTTTTTAGAAACCGACGTTTCAGGGAAGCGGGGAGAGCTGCCCCGGGACCCTCCTCCCATGGGGTTCACTATGAATGTATTGCAAACTGGAGAGTATCTCGATCCAAAGAACAATCATTCCTGTGTGGTCCTTGTTGCCCTCCTGTTTTCATTTTACCTTAAAACTGAGCGCATGAGGGCCGTGGGCCGACGTGTTCCAGCCGAATCAGCAGCGCGTCAGCAGCGCCTCAGTGAAGAGCAGAGGCGCCGTCACCCTGAGCCGGTCGGTGTGTGGGAGGAGGGCAGGCACAGCAACAGGGACACACTGAGGGGGCAGGTGTTGGCCTCTGGGCATCACGGAGGTGAGGGGACCTCGAGGCCCCGAGCCCTGGCTCTGCCCCTCACATGCAAAGAATATTCAGGATGGCAACAGCTTGTTTTTTTGTTCTTTTAATTTTATCATTTTTGTTTCTCTACCCACGTCACCAGTGATCAAATAGGACCCTTGGTGCAGAGGTTAAATTATGCCGGAAAGCAAACAGCTCCCCTCCTTGGGGACTCGCCTTAAACTTGCCTGGTCTGTACCTGCTTCGCGGCCTCACGAGGAAGCCCTCTGGGCAGCCCGAGCGTCTCCTTGACGCCTGCCTCCCACGCTGAGGAAGTTGGTCTTTCCCTCCTGGTCTTTGCCTTTCTGTTCATCTGTGAACCGTTTGTTTTTGTTTCCGATTAATCCGTCCCCTATCCTAATCAGGGCTTCTACCACTGCTGATGCAAAACCACAAAGGGACCTGCTCAGGACAACGGCAGCCAGTGAGCAGAGCTGCAGGGCACTTTCGCGACTGCGTCACACAGAAATGGGTGGTCCAGGAGGGTCTCCGGAGATCGTTTTGCATATTCATTTGCACATCTGTTGTCTGGGTTGGACATGTGTATTGGGCTTCAGAGTGAGCCTTTTAATATGTATATCCTGTTTATCAATAAAAAAAATTATCGAAGTGGTTGAATCCTGTGAGACTCGGCAAGTATGTGCAAATCAAGTATACTTGACTTTTCAACCTCTTCTTTCAATGTAACTTTTATATGAAATAAAGTCACTCGTTGATGGTTCTAAAACAGTTTATGTGGCACAGTTCTTGGTGGATTGTCGGTGTGTTTTCCGTGGCTGGCGTTTCCTTGGCTTATTGACACCAGTACCCTGGGCTGTGACAGTCACCCCTCAACTGTCTCCACAGCCTCTGGACACTTTGGTGCCCGTGGAGTGATGGCATTCCAGTGCCGCTCACACCGGCTGCCCAGTCCACGCTTCATGTTGCACTCAGATCGACACACATCGTTTTGCTCAGCTTTCTCCTAAACAGTTCTATAATTTTTTTCAGTGCTCTTTGTTTTTGTTTGTTTAAAAATATTTTTTTTTCTTTATTGATTTTTAGAGAGTAAGGGAGGAGAGACAGAGAAACATTGATGAGAGAGAACATCGATTGGCTGCCTCCTGCACGCCCCCCACTGGAGATCAGGCCCACAACCTGGGCATGTGCCCTGACCGGGAATCGAACCAGTGACCTTTTGGAGCATGGGTTGGTGCTCAACCACTGAGCCACACCGGCGGGGCTCAGTGCTCTTCGAAATAAAATAATCTTTAAAAGCATCCTTCAAGCCAGAATTTCAGCTTCTTACAATTTAATTCAACAGACTTTTCTAATATTTGTGCTTGAGGGACCCACAGGTGGGTGAAGAGGGTGACCGGGTCCCCCTACTGCCGCTTAGGGAAGACGGGCAACCCACGAACGACCAGCCCTGTGCCTGCAGGGGTGCCACACACACACTTCCACGAGGCACTCACTGGCTTGTAGGAACACAAAGGGCCCTGGACACGGAGACACGTCCCTGAGCCCGGACACCAGGCCAGCAGCCACTCTTAGGCCCGTGTCTGTGGCTCTGCAGAACTGCTGCAATGTCATTTGTGTTCCTCCTGTTGGGACATTACACAGGCTCAGTATCAAGAAGTACATTTGCATTCAAATGGAAAATGAATGTACTACCCAAACAGGGAGTTGGCTAAAATCTCGTCTATCATATATAATTTTGGTTCGACTGCCTAAGCAGAGGAACAGGGATGCCCACAGAATCCACACAGATTCCCTGGTAGCATTCAGGTGCCTCAGCAGAAGGGTAAGCTACTGGCAAGGCTGGCAGATCAGAGGTGAAACCAAACCGCTCGTATCCATCCAGCTGATCATTCACGTGAAGGCAGCCCAAGGGCACAAAGGGGACAGGCACGGACGATGCCGATCCGCGGCTGGTTCGGCTAACAGGCGGGGCCGGCATTCGCTCTGTGAGAGAATGAATGGCTCGATCGCCCGGCCCGGTGGAAAACGAGAAAATCATGGAGGGAGGTTCCACGCACAACGCGTTTTCAATCCAGAGAACACGTGATTTCCAAGTTCCTGGTGCCCCCCGAGTCGCTGCCTGCTCTCCCCCTCCCCACAGTGCACGTTTTGTTCGCTAGAGTGTACACTAGGATGACTAATTACTTTGTGTTAAACCAAGTAGGGTCCTGTGATACACATCTTTCTCTTTCCCCGGAGAAAAACGAGGTAGTTACCACCTGCCTCCCCAGCCCTCCGCTGCCCTGGCTTCGGGTGCTCTGCACGGCTGTCTCCCCGAGACTCCGGTGTTCAGTCTCCGGCTTCTTGGGTTCTGCCCCTTTCCAATTCTTCAACTGGTGCAGTGTGTTCCCTAGTAGTTCCTGGAGAAGGGGTATGTTACTCAAGTTTTTTAAGATTGTAGTCTGCAAAAATTCCTTATTCTACCCTCACCTTTGGTTGATGGTTGAGCCAGACCATGGATTCTCTGTTCCATGCCTCTCATTCAGGTGCCAAACTGTCGTTGCCAGAGGATCCATGTCCTCCTGGTTGCTGTCTTATGTGACCTAGCTGCTGCTGCTTTTTAATCTTAGGACGCCTTGAATATCCTCTTTTTAGTCCCAGTTCCTCAAAGTTAACAATGATCTGCCTTGGTGCCCTGTGCTAATTAATGCGTGGTGGCCCCTTTCCGTCTGAGATACGTGATTTTTGGTCCTGGCAAATGTGCTGCGTCATATCTTTGGGACTTTCACGCCTCGATCTTATTCTCTGACTCTTACAGGTGGAAAGTCGCACTGTCTAGAGTAGCTCCTCCCTTCCCCTCGTACTGTGTTTCCGGGACGCGTCCTTCACGTGGTCTTCCAGCTCTTCTGCTGGCTGTTTTATTCGGGTATGGTAGCTTTAATCTCCAAGGGCTTGTTTATTGTTCCTTTGTCCTTTTAAAAGAAAATTAGTTTTTTTCCAGAGCAGTTTTAGGCTCACAGCAAAATAAAATGGGAGGCACAGAGATCTCCCACACCCCTTCTGTCCGCACGCTTGCATGCCCCCCCAGACCCCCCCAGAGGTGCATCTGTTGCAGCTGATGAACCTGCACCGACACTGTCACCCAGAGTCCACCTTGACGCTGGCTCACTCTTGGTGGTGCACAGTCTGTGGTTCAGACACATGTATAATGACGCATCTCTCATCATTGTTCACACAGTCTTCTCCCTGCAATTCCTCTGTGCTCTGCTCCCCACAGCAACCACTGACCTTTTCACTATCTCACAGTTTTGTCTTTTCCAGAATGTCAGAGTTGAAATCACACAGTATGTTTATCGGGGATATTAGCCTATAGTTTTATTTTCTTGTGCTGTTTTTCTCTGGCTTTGGTATCAATGTAATGCTGGCCTCGAAAGAGTTTGGAAGTGTGTCCTCCTCTTCAGATTTTTGGAAGAGTTTGACAAGGATTGCCATTAATTCCTCCTTAAATGGTCGGTAGAATTTACGAGTGAAGCCACCTGGTCCTGGGGACAAACAGACATGTCCACAAGCCTATGACAGAACAATGCACCTCTCAGAGCTTCATAGACAGGGACCACCAAAACGTTTGCACGCTCACGGGCCTGAAGCAGACTCCGTCCCTACACAGGTTGCAAATAACACAAACACAGCAACTCCAGGTAACACAAAACAATTGTAGAAACCAGCGACGGCATACGTTTCATCCCGTCTCAGGAATGCAAATTGCCACCGTTACACGCCGTCTCCCTTCCCGTGTCCATCAGCCCACAGTGCCTAAAAATACCTGGCCCATTCTGTGGCCCTCTCTCTCATCCAAGTGGGGCAACAGATACTTTGCTGTGTAGACAGGATTTTTTCAGTGCTGGAACATCCCCAAGACACATGACTCTGAAGGCTGATTGGAGATGAGACGGAAACAAGCTCCCACATTGCCTCGGATTTTTCTGAACAGTGGCCACACACGTGGAAACCCACGAACGCGAATGCTCAGCCAGGCCCTGTTTTCATAAGGATACCACCATGTTGTCCAAAGGCCTCCTATTAAAAACGTCCAGCAGCCCTGGCCTAGAGCATCGGCCTGCGGTCCAGAGAGACCCGGGTTCGGTTCCCACTAAGAGCATGTACCTTGGTTGCAGTTTGTCCCTGGCCCTGGTTGGGTTGTGTGGATGGCAGCCACTTGATGTGTCCCTTTCACGTCGATGTTTCTCTCTCTCTTCCTCTCTCTCCCTCCCACTCTATCTGAGCTCTCGGACCATAATGCACTCAACCGGTTCCCTGGCATATGGTCAAATTTATATTCTGATTCGGCAGGTCTGGGGTGTAGCCTGAGAGTCTGCGTTTCTAACCAACTCCTGGTGCTGCTGCTGCTGGCCACAGACCCACTTTGAGTAACAAAGTCTAAATGCTGGGAAGAGTTGACCTATGGTCGCGACTCAATGCAAGTATTAAACCACCCTCTGGCAACACTGAAATAATACCTGTACAAGTGAATAGGACCATCCTCACTGATACACCTGTGTCAAGATTACTATACACATGTACACACACACGTCTAAGTAACATCAGAACAGGAAGAACAAATTGGAAACAGCCCTTTGACTTGTTGAGGTGACTAGCCTTTTGGAGAATTTCAATTGTAGAGTCTTTGTATGTTTGTGGAATAAGTAGTTTCTAAAAAGTATGTGATTCAGGAAGTAAGGTGTTGAGTTTTGCTGCTTACAGGCTACTCTAAAATAGCCTTTTAGCCCGCCTGGTGTGGCTCAGTGGATTGAGCATCATCCCATGGACTGAGCGGTCCCGGTTCGATTCCCGGTCAGGGCACATGCCCAGGGTGTGGGCCTGATCCCCAGTAGGGGGCGTGAAGCAGGCGGACAATCAATGTTCTCTCGCATCGATGTTTCTATCTCCCTCTCCCTTCCCCTCTTTGGGGGGCTTTTAGAACGGACTCATTTTGAGCATCATTTGTGGCTTCATGGGAAAGGCCTTGAAGCCGACACGATTCATGCAGGAGGTGTGGCTGTGGGGAAAGGCATCTCTAACAATTATTCAACCAGGAAACGGTTCCGTCAGCGGAGGGTGGCCCCCTTCAGTGTGTCCTTCAAGGGGAGAGAGTCATTTTCCCGCGGAGCCAGTGGCCCGACGGCTCGGACTCGGTGGCCCGGGCGCCACGGTGCGGTTCCCACTGGCGTGCCCTCGGAGTAACGCGGCGTTCCCTCGGTCCCAGCCATCCCGAAGGCAAGTCCCTTGCAGGACTGTTGTAAGCACCGGAGGCATCAAACCAGCAAGGAGCTTCCCTGGGCCGCTCGGAAGGGGACGCGGACGTGTGGGTGCTGCCAGGTGCCCCGTGTGGGGACGTGCACACACACGTGAGTCCTGAGGCGCACCTGCAACGCCAGCCCTCAGACAGACCAGCGGGCCCGCCTTCCCCTGGCCAGAGGGTTTGCTGAGTTCCAACAGCAGTGACATTCCCAGTTCCCAGGGTGCCTTCCTATGCCTGACCCGATCACACCTCCCCTGCAGCCTTTGAGGCCGGTCACCAGGTACAGTAAGGCCCCACAGAATTTCCTCAGTAGGTTCCTGGAAACTGCAACTTTAAGTGAAAAGACATGACGAAACCAATTTTACCACATGCTAATGGGTATAAATAAGAGTTAAGTTTGTATGGCATATTTCTGGTCACAAAAATACCCCCC